GGGTTTTCCTCTATTTCTCCATGTGCTCTTCTTCCAGACATTGCCAGAGGACAGGACAGATGTGCCAGTGAGTGGTCTCCCCTATCCCTACCCTCGCCCCCAGCACACACCCAGTGCCATGGTGCCCAGCAGCCATCCTGCTTCTCCCCCCAGAGCTGGTTCGAGGTGACGAATACCACCAGTGCTGCAACATGACAGTGGAACAGATCAAACAAAGTGACAGGATCCACAGCTTCAACTTCACCTGGAGCTGCTCGGAGCTGTGGCGCTCTGTCAGCCCTGCTTGTGCCTGCCTGCGGGAACACTCGCTCAGGTAGCAGCAGGGACAGCCATGGAGGGGTCTGGGGGCTCAGCCCCCACATCCACCGGTCCCACAGCCCCTGTCCTACAGGGCGCTGCAGTCGGGGCTGCACAGTTGGCCGGTCTGGCTGAAGTCACTGCTCCTGAATGTCAGCAAGCCTGTCAGCCGTGATGTCCTCATCAGCTTTTCCCCCACAGAGGTGAGATGTGCCCCTCCCTCTCCCTTGCTTGGAGGGTTCCATGCCTTCCAAGTCCCCCTTGGCCCCTGCCACAGTGCTTGCTGTGTCACGGCGTGCTCTTCCTCCACCCTGTTCTGGGGTTGCATCATGGACATCCCTTGGCAGGCAGTCATGTGAAATGGTACTTGGGAGGAAAGAGTCCCCACCTAGGAGGCATTCCAGAAGATAGGGGTGGTCAGGGGGAGGAGGAGGTGGAAAAGGAGGAGGAACATGTGCGACCTTGCACCTCCTGTCAATTCCCAGGCTCTGGATGTCCCAGGGGGTCATATCCCATAGAGTGATAGTGGATTGAGGCTCTTCTGGGTCCCACTCCCAGCTCTGTCCTCGCAGGTTCTGGGGATGAGGTTTTCCCCTTCTGCCCACAGGGCTCCTGCTGATGTTTCTGAGCAAACCTACTTGAGTAGGGCTGAATTTGTGCCTGGAGCAAGGTTGGCGGATCCTGAACAGAGAGGTGACTGGACAGCAACAACCTCTCCTCATTCTTCTCCCCCACAGGTCCCCAGCATGATGAACATCACAGAGGAGAAAGCTGGCAAAATCCATCTTCCCAGGGAGATATTTTGGTCCCTGAGTAGACAGATAGTGCGTGTGGTGGTGACAGTCCTCAACATCCAGCAGCTTGGCATGTTCAAGGTATGAGCTGGAATTGCTGGTATCCTTCATGCTGCTGCTGGCACTTGCTACCCACCAGATCAGCTCAGGCAGCATTGCTCCCATGCAGGAAGTCAACCAGACAGGGCAGGTCTTGGACAACACTGTGGTGGGCATCATAGTGGGAGAGACCAGCATCTCTGGGCTGCAGAACCCCGTGCAGGTCACCTTCACCCACAGGAAGCTGCCCCAGGTGAGTCAGTCCTGCCTACCCTCCATCTCTCCTCTAGTGTCCCTCACTGTGGCATCTGCTGATGCTGCTCTCCCCCTTTGCAGGGTGTCACCCCACAATGTGTCTTCTGGGATGCCAGCAAAGGTATGGTCCTCAGCAGGGCTGGGTGTGGGGCCAGGCACAGGTGCTGAGCCCCATGTGCTCACAGCTGTCACCCCATGCCCGTTGCAGGGCAGGCAGGAGGCTGGAGCAGCAGTGGATGTGTCACACAGCCTGTGGACAAGGGGACAGTCTGCTCCTGTGACCATCTCACCTTCTTCGCCCTCCTCCTGGTGATGATCCCACTCCCCACAGCTCCTGCTTGTGCCCTGGCTCTGCTGCCTGCCCAATTTTGGTGACCCCTCGGGTGTCATGTGTAGCCACACAGGGACAGTTAGAGCTGCCAGACTGGGGGCTTGTACAGGATCTCTGCAGCAGCCCACCTTGGTTATCAGCCCCATGGCTCTGGCGGGGTTTTCTAGGCTGCTCTGGGGCCTGTCTAACCCAACATGTGCATGTTTGGCAGAACCCAGCTCTGGATGGCTCCACAGCACAAGCCTTGATGGCTGTTGCCACTGCTGGCTGTGGGGTAGCCGTGGTTTTCTCCATCTTCACCATAGCCTTCTGCATCTTCATAAGGTAGGATGTGCCGTAAACTCCACAGGGACTCATCAGGCTGGGAGAGGTGTGGGGTGATTCTGGTGGTTCTGCATGGACCTGCTGTTGTACAGCATGAGGCTCCACTCAGCTGTGACCCTTGCCTTTCCTGCTGCCTCTGGGGACACTCAGGTGCAGATTCAGGTTTGAGGAAACCCTTCGCATCAACCTGGGGCTGCACATGAACCTCGTGAGCAGCCTGCTCCTCCTCAACCTGGTCTTCCTGCTCAACAGTGGGCTCTCTGGTGGGACCCAGCCAGGGACCTGTAAGGTCCTGGGGGGGCTCACCCACTACTGCCTGCTCTGCTGCTTCACCTGGATGGCGCTGGAGGGCTGTCAGCTCTACCTCCTCTTTGTCAAGGTCCTTGGCACCTACATCCACCACTACCTGGCGAAGCTGTGCCTGCTTGGCTGGGGTGAGCACCACCAGCCTGGGCAAGAGTCACAGGGAGAGGGAGGCAGTGGGAGGTTTATGTTGGATATTAGGCAAAATTTCTTCACTGAAAGGGTGGTCAGGTACCAGAACAGGCTTCCCTGGGCAATGGTGGAGTCACCATCCCTGGAAGTGTTCAAAGGATGCATAGATGTGGCACTTGGGGACATGGTTTAGCGGTGAACATGGCAGTGCTGGGTTAATGGTTGGACTTGATGACCTTAGAGGTCTTTTCCAACCTAAACTATTCTGTGGTTCTGTGTCTCACTTCTTCCAGGCTTCCCTGTTCTTGTGGTGGGGGTAGCAGGAGTTATTGGCAGCTATGGAGAATACAGCATCCAGACCACGGACCACCAGGTCATAGCCCACCTGTGCGTGTGCCACTGCCCACAGGGCTTAGATGGCCCTTTGGCATGGGGAGTGGTAGCCCAGTCCTGCCAGGAGTGCAGCAGTCAGGGATTGCACCCATCCGGCTTGGCTCTATGCCATACTTCTTCTTCCTTAATTGTGATTACAACACATCAGCCACCACCAGCACCATCTCTCCTGCTGAGCCCCTTCAGTCATGTCTGCAGGCCTCCAGGTCATGGAGGGCCATCCATGGTCTACCTGGAGCCTCCCCAGGCTCCCTCCCAGCTGAGCAACATGAGGGCAGTGAATATGCACCACTGTCCTCCTGCTTCACCCTGGGCTTGGAGACCACCCCCAGCTCAAGGGTGTCCCTGAATCCCCAAAATGTCCCCTTGGAGAGGCTCCCATGGGTGCTGCCAGGGCTTGCAGGGCCACTGGAAGCACTGTGGTTGTCTCTTTTCAGGTGCTGGATCACTTCCAAACATGTCCTGGTCCACTATATCACTAACTGCAGCTACTTTGGCCTCATCTTCCTCTTCAACACGGCTGTCTTCGGGGTCGTGACCCAGAAGAGCTGCAGCTTGCAGAGAACAAGCGCAGTGCAGGGAGACTACAAGCCCTGGAAGGTGACCCTGGTGGCAGCAGGGCTCTTCTCTCTGCTGGGAGCCACCTGGGCCCTCGCATTCCTCAGCTACGGCACCTCCTCTGCCCCTGTGCTCTACCTCTTCACCATCCTCAACTCTCTCCAAGGTCAGCGCTGGCTCCAAGCTGGGTTCCCTGATTTTGGGTAGGGAAGATGGAGGAGTCAGGAACCAGCCTGGCAGTGGGTCGACCAGGGATTCCAAGGCACCAGTGTCTTCCTAGCACTGTCATGCCCTTCTCTCTGGCAGGACATGTCAAGCAGCAGGTCCCAGTCACTAGCTTGGAGCTGGTCATGGCTCCCAACCACATCCACTCCACTGTGGGTGGATTTCCTCCAAAAACATCATTCCTTAGCAGAGGACTAGGGACATTATCCATCCCGGGCATGTCCCAGCCAAATGGCTCACCTGAAGTTGGGGGCAAGAGTGAGCTGGTAGAATCTTTTGGAAGTGGTAGGGAAGTGCTGTTGTCATCCTGGCAAGATGCATCCCACTGTCTCCTGCTGCTGCTGAGTGCTTGTCTTCCTTCCCCTGCAGGAATATTCATATTCATCTGGCTGGTTGTCCTCTACTACCCAAAGACAAAGGAGACCACTGGCTCCCTCTCCCACATCATCAGACATGACAATACTAACCCTGTCTCCCAGGAATAGCTGCTGCCTGGACCTCTCTTCCTGCCTACATGTGCATCCCCTGAGAGCAATCTTCAATCTTGGTAGATGCAGCTTCCTCACAGAAGAAGGATAGTTTATCATACCTTGGTTTACCCTTCAGTGAGCATGATCCACCTCAGCAGGGCTCTTCACTTTGGCCTTTCATTCCTGGTGGCCTGTCTTGGGCAAGGAGCTCCAGAGATGACCTTTCTGCCAAAGTCCCTCCAGGCTGCTGTCAGGTGCTCCTGATCTCATTCCCCAGGGGCTATTGTGGGGTAACCCATGAACTGCCTGCCTTCAGCCTGGATGGAACCATCCCCCTCTTCACTAGACATGGTGTTTGGTCCTGGACCAGATTGGTGGTGGGTCTTCTTCCATTGGAGGTGCGAGGATTGACTCATTCCAGCCCGGACATGGGAGGTTCAGGTCTGGGAATCAGCAAAAACCAGAAATCCCGTGAGCTTCTTTGCAATACATCCCCCTGCTCTCTGGCAAAGATCTGCTGGATGTCCTTCCTGCAAAATACCTTCTAGGAACAGCAACACTTCCCACATGGACATTGTGCTTCAGCTCAAAGTGCACACACAGTCCCTGTGCAGAGCAACTGCTTGTCTTCTCCTGATCTCTGTTGTAGTATTAAATCCCTGCCAGCTGTCTGAGCGCTGTGGATTTAGTCTTTGGTGCCAAACTTTTGTTTGTTTTTTTGCTTTATATTAGGGATGTATTGATGGCCAAAACTCTTGCTGGGAATTTGTCATGAATGACAAGAGAAGTGTCAAGAATGAAGGGAGGAATTGCTATGGATAGGTGTACACACACACACACACACACACACAAACACACACACACATGTATACACACAGAGCAGCCCTTTCTCTGCTAATGCTACATCTGTGTCACACAGAACCACACAAAGACCAGCTTTGGTGGGCAAGAATCTAGTGTGGGAGCACCTCCATCTCCCCACATACCTGGGTGACTATGCAGGGAGAAAGAAAGTGGGAGGAAGTACCCTCCTATCCTCCGGTACAAGCTTTGAGTTTAGAGAGTGTGGGTCTGGAGGGGATGTGGTCCTAGAGATGCTAGGGGGAAGAGAAACACTCTGATGTGCCTCATTCCTCAAGCACAGTTTATTTCCAACCATCACCTCCTTCCCCCAAAAAAACATAACGACACCAGAGCCTCTGTGCTATTCTCATGTTTACTGGGAAACAGCCATCTCCTACACCATCCGCTGCCCCACGCTGACGACTGCAGCAGCCACAGTGAGTACACCAAGCACACACAGCAGGACGAGGGCCCCAGGGAGCCATGGGCTGGGTCCTGCCAAAGAGAGATTGGTTATGTGTTTGGGGCCCCTGAGCCAGCTCTGAGCCCTGGCACAGCGTCTCCTGGCTGGGGACAGATTCAAGGGAGGTCGTGTCCTATGGACAGGAATCACCAGAGCTGGGGATACTTCGGGACCCTAAGGGCACTGACAGAGTCACCCCAAACAGCCTCCACACACCCCTGCTGCCCAGGGGCTCCATCTAGTTCAGCATTCATGCCTGGTCTGAGCTATGCTGTAGGTGGGTTTGTCCTCAGCCCTGGCTCTGGACTGCTGTTTGGATCTCCTGGACTGACTCTGGTGCTCAGGAAGAGCCTTCCTTGGTGGGTTAATGCAGAGGTTCAGTGTGAAAACCCAGCCGTCCTCACCTGGGGTGCTGCACTGACAGCCTTCTGGCTTTGGGTCCCTTCCTGCCCAGCTCCCCTGCTCAGCCCAAGCTGTGCCCAGCATGGAGCTGCTCATGCAGAGCTCTGTGCTGGTTTGGCTTTGAAGCATGCCATGCATGGCCGTAACACCTGAAAGTCTCCATGCTTCTGGGAAGGGCAGTGATTTTAGCAACCCTTTTTAATAGCTTGGCATTGCCTAGACAGTTGCAGGGGTCTTTGAGCTGCTCCTGCCCTCCCCAGGGGGACATACATACCTGTCAGATCTTGTTGGTTAGTGTTGGAATGATGGGTCTCTGCTCCCAAGGAAGGAGCAGTCAGCAGGTGGATGGGCCCATAGGAGACAACCTTATTGTAATCATCCCCCAGTGCCCGCTTGTTCCTCCAGTGCCTGGGGCATTGCTGTCAACAAAGCCAAGGGAAGGGTGATGGAACCAGAGGGCAGGGGAGAAGCATCTCATACTGGGGGCAAGAGCCATCCTGGAGGTCTTCTGTTGGCAGAGGCACTGTTGGGGTTGCAGCCTGGGGACAGTCAGTACCCCAGGGCATGAGAAGAGCCAGCTCTTGAAGGACCTTAGTTTGCCTCCCCCAAATCCTAGCACCAACCTCTCCTCGTGCAAATACCCAATACCCAGAGGGAAGAGGGAAAGGAGCTCTCTGGTGGGTTCAAGCCCTCATACCTTTGGCTCAGGGCACTGGGGTGAGTTTCTGATGCTGGGAGGTGTTTATGGTGTGAGGCACCCAAAGCAGGAGCAGAGCCCCTTTTCTATGCAGCAGGCCTAGGGAAGGGAGGTCCTATGCCCAGCCAGGGCACAGGGTACACCAGAGAGAGAGCTCACCTTGGCACAGGGCTCCAGGCTGTCTGGGAGACAGAGCTGGACACGGCAGTGCAGGAAGACCTCAGGGTATCCAACAAACTGAAACATCTGGAAGCTGAACTTGGCATCAGTGCTCTCTCCAATGGCATTCAGATATGCCACTGTCTCATCATGGGGACACCTGGGACATGATGGCTGGGTCAGTGGGTGGCAAACAACAGGGAGCATCCCAGCCTGGTACACCAGATCCCACAGGGACCGGGTGCAGACCCCAGGCTTTGATAAATAGGTCTATTTCTGTCTCTGCGCCAGTGGGGATGCCTTTTCTTGGCACCCTGCATTGTGCCCAGCTCAGAGAGGAGCTGCTACCAGCCCAGGAACTAGCTTGTGTCCTGCTCTGTGAGGCCACATCTGCTCTGCAGTTGTGGAGTGAGCTCCCATTTCCCAGACAGCCACATTGCTGGCTTTAGCTTGGCTGCAGCCACCTCTAACTCAAACTTTTCACAGATACCTCTGCATATCCCAGCAGGGTCTCCCTTCTCCCCTTCTTGCTCTTTGCCTCCCTAGCTGACCAGGAGTGATGCTGGAGGAAAGGCAGCACTGCTGGCAGCAGAGCAAGGTCAGGAGAGGGAGCTCAGTTTAGAGTGGTTAAGGGGCTCATCTATGGGGCTGTTCAGCCTATTTGATGATGGTGTCCACCATAAGTTCCACCTATGGGCAATGATGGTGTCATTGCTCACTGTTCCTGTCCTAAGCACCCAGCGAAGAGATGTGACTGTGGTAATGGTGCGAGGAGAACAGATGTGCTGGGGACACTCCACTCACCCCTGCTCGATGAGTTTGTGCCGCACGTCCTGGTAGGGATCTGCACTCGGTGTGGCCCAGCAGTCCAAAACACTCAGTAAGAAGTACTTTTGCTGGTGCTGTCCTTCTATC